AGGGCTGAAGCAGAACAGATGGTTGCTCCTAGTGCTTTTCAAGGCTCCATAATGAATTTCTCATGACAAATCTCTGTTTCCCCATTCTGGGAGGGAGGAAGAAAAGCATACTGGCATCATTCTCCAAAGCATTGTAATGGAGACTTAGTGTGAAGCCTTTTTCTGTTCTTGGAATAGAACCTTTGGCAGCCCAAAGGCTGTTATGTGTATATATATATTTTTATTTTTGCCTAATGGTCAACTGTCAACAGCTGCTCTGAAACAGCTTCCCATTTCTAAGTTTCCATCATTGACCAGGCATTGGGGCTAATATGGAAAGACATTGTTTGCACAACAAATAGTATGAGACAATGCATGTAGAACAGTGATCTGAGAATGCCCAGAAGCCAAGTAAGCTACTTAGGAGAAGTACTCCTTTGCATTATCAATGTTAACATTACAATATAAGGAAATTATTTCTACAAAGATTCCATAATTTCACTCTTCCAGTAAATGTTCTCTTGCAAAAAAAGGGGGAAAAAATCTGTACATGAAGGGAATAGATAAGAGAAATAGAAATAGTTGAAAACAGATCTTTGAGAATAATTTAAACCAAGTTGCCATGAAGAGCCGCCAGTTCCTGGTACTGATAATACAATAAAATATGTTTAGTGCTTTAGGCTAATATTACTTTCTATGACCTGATTTTGCTTCATTTTAAAGTCACTTTCTGCTACACTAATTAAAATATAGCTGTCACCTTTAAGGATTTTGACTGTTATTTTTAGTTTCCTATAGACCATATGCCTCTAGGCTTCTGCTGCAGGCTTTACCAAAATAGTATTAATTGCACAATGGACCTGATTCTCTTAGTTATGGCAATGTCAATGGGAGTACTTCTTCCCATTTTTCCTCATTTTTTTTTATAACATCAACAAATGAAACAATGTTCTCTTGAAAGTATAACTATTATGCTAGAGATAAAGCCTTGATATTCATCCACCATGTTAAGTTGTCATGTGATCCTATAACTGGGATGTGAAGAAGAAGAGAAATGTCTTGTAATAGGGCTAGAAATGGGAAAGGTTCATTCTAGAATAAGGAAAGGACAGGATTTTCTTTCTTGACTTTCATCCCAGATTCATTTTTAGCTTGAACTTTATTCCTGCTCGTCCTTCGAAATACACTTACAATTTTATTTTCATCTCAATCCAGTGAAGTAGATATATAGTTGAAATGCTGAATATTCTGGGATGACTCTGTTAGCTTCATAGTTGAATAGGGATTTGGTCATGAGTCTCTCAGGTCCTGCAATCAACATTTAGTTTAGAAATGGAGGCTCTCTTGGAGATGGTTTACATTATGTATTATTTATCAGTTTGCCAGGATTTCAGAAGAGATAATTTAGTGAAATATAGAAATAAATATAAGCTTGGAGTACTAAATTATGTTGAAATGCAAGATGCCAGTTTAAAAAAAAAGTTTATATGCATTTTTATTTTAATAATGAGAAGACATGGGTGAGCTACAATAAATGTCTGGTTTAGAGGAAAGACTGAGCCAGTCAATAAGCAGGTAGATGTGATTGAGCAAGAATTAAGCATTTCCCTTTCTCACTGATTTCAATGGAATATTTAGCTTGCAGATATAAACTTCCCTCTTGAGGAGATGTTTATGGATTTAGCTGTTAAAGTCTGCATAATTCTCCCTTGAAATCAGTAGGATTTAAATATGCCTGACTTCATTGTTTTTGGATATACAGGTAGTCTTGCTATCTAACCATTCATTCAGCAACCATTTGAATTTACGACAGCGCTGAAAAAATGGACTTAACTCATGCCTGAAGATACGGCTGTATAGCGCGCCTGCAGTCACACAATCAAAATTCGGGCACTTGGCAGCCCACCCACACTTACGACCGCAGGGGTGCTGCACCTCCCCCCACCCAGCTATCTCCCCCCAGCTATGCCTTTTTGGGTGCCCTGCACAGCAGCATTCAGTGGCCTCAGGGCTAGGGCTGAAGTCTCGCAATCCTTCAAAAACCTTCTGGTCTTCTCCAGATCTCACAAAAATGGAACACTCCAGGGAAGGGAAGGAGAGGCGTGGCTTCCAGAAGGTATGGGACATGTGGCTTCGGGAAGGAATGGGTGGAGGGGACGCCAGGTTTAAGGAAGGAAAGAGGGGCCAGGTGAGGAATGGAAGGACAAGAGCGCGAGGGGGACGGTGCAAGGCGATGAAGGCCAGGTGAGGAATCGGAGGATGGGAACAGCGTGAGGCAGCAAAGGCCAGTGGTGTGGGGTGTGAGGCATGAGGGCTTTATTTCTCAGTGGCAGCAGCAGCACTGTTCCTGAGTGCTGCTGTGCAGGGCAGCTGAAAGGGCAGAGATGGGGCAGAGATAGGCAGGTGGGGGAAGTTGCAGCGCCCTTGCAGTCATAGGTACTGCTGGGTTGGCTGAGGCTTCCAGGGGCAGCTGCAGCTTTGTGCCGCACTGCAGCACCTCCCCAACTTGCACGTGGTCTGCACTGGGCCTCCCCATCCCCTGAGGCATCCCTGCACATTTTACCTGGGATTTGTCCACTTAATGACCCATGATTCTCACTAAACGATGGCAGCTGGGAGTGCTGGGATTGCCATCGTGAAGTGAAGCAGTCACGTAATAATTCACTTAATGATCATATCGCTTAACGACCTAAATTCCGGTCTCAAATATGGTCAGATAGCAGGGACTACCTGTATTAGATAATTTTCCAGTGATACAAATAATAAAATTCCATCTTTATAAACTACAAATACTGTAAGTACCTTTAAATAAGCTTTCTCTTTTATCTGCATTTCCAAAATGCATTGTATCATTTTCACTGGTACCTTTTAGCTGCTTGGTCAGTACTAACTGTGATGAATTTCTGCATTTTGGCTCTGTTGTTTTGAATGTGTCTTGCTAATGTAATATCTTCATATGCATTTTCTTGTAGGTTTCCTTGTGTTGTTTAATTAAATCATGTTCGTAGTTTTATATTTCAGTAACTTGTACCTTTTGGCCTATTAATTCCTTTACCTGGAAGGCAAGGCATTCTAAACAGTAAACACTGAAAAGATCACAAAGAGAATGTGGCAGTGAGTAGATTCTAAGGCTTTTGCCTGTGTTGCGGTCCCTGGGCTTTCTGCTCCCCACCCAAGGTGAAGGAAGCAGGCAACACAGTAGCTGTCATGACAGAAAGCACAGCTAACCATACCATGCTTGAACTAGGTTGGAATGAGGTTTGATCAGTCTACTCTGATGAAATGTATGCATTTTATAGCAGCAGCATGTCAGGATGCACTGACCTCATTAAGGCAACATACAGGATTAAACATATAGAGATAAATAGAAACAAAACAAAATGGAACAGCTAAATATAGCAGCCCCTGGGTAAACATTTTAAAATATTAAAATAATCTGTCTTTAAAACTGGGGTGGTGAGGGTACTGACAAAGTCCTACCTCCTGGTACACATTAGTCTAACATTGGTGGGCCAGAGAATAGGACTTCAGACCCTGATCTAAGCAATTGGGAAGGATCATACAAATACAGGCAGTCCTTCAGATAATGTGGACTACACATTTAAGCTTTGAATCTAAAATGAGCACCTTGAATTGGATTTTGAAACAGACAACAAAAACCAGTGTCACAAATAGCAAATCAATATGATTTGAGCACTTTGTCCCATGAGTGTACAGGTAGTCTCACCTTATGACCACTCGTTCAGTGACCACTCAAAGTTATGACAGTGCTGAATGAGGGGGAGTTACAACCAGTCCTCGAAGTTGTGGCCATCGCAGCATCCCCACAGTCAAGTGATCATGATTTGGACGCTTGGCAACCAGCTCACAGTTACAATGGTTGCAGCACCCTGCAGTCACATGATCGCCATTTATGACCTTCCCTGCTGGCTTCCCATAAGCAGTGGGGAAGCTGGCAGGAAGTTGCAAGTTGTTCCTGCTGCTTTTTCTCATAAGGAGCCCCCAGGTGGCATGGAGCTCTCATCTGCCCATCTGCCTGTACTCCGTAGTGCCCGCTTTCAGTGCCTGCACTCCATAGCACCTGCCCGCATTATCCACCCGCCCATACTCCGTAGTGCCCACGCACCCCCAGCATCTGCCTGCCCATACTCTGTAGCACCCACCTGCCTGTACCTCTTGCACTCCGGCTGCTTGCTTGGGACATGGTTTCAGTGCCTCTTCCCAAGACGTGGTCATGCAAGGTCCTCGCCTAATGACCTGCGTGGTCCTCGCTTAACGATGGCAACAGGGACTGCCAGGATTGCCATTGCTAAGCAATGCAGTAATGCAGATGTCAGACTTTATGACCACATTGCTTAGCGATGGAGATTCTGGTCTCTATTGCCATCATAACCCAAGGAGTACCTACCAGCTTTTGCATGCTGTATTAGTGGCAGTTTCCATACTACCTTCAGTGGGCTATAGAACATACTACTGTAATGAAATAAATTCAAGGCTTGTGTTACTATGGCTAGGTCCATTTTTTTTAGCCGTCTTTCAAACCAACCTAAAATGTTTTTTAAAAATCATTAAAAGTGCCAGAATTTCTTAGAATTGAATTGCATAGACTGAATCCAGTAGTATGATTATCACTCCATCTAGAATTGCATCTAAATATAATTCTGGCTAAGTATGTTAGCCCTTGTCCCTCCAAATTGTCCCTAGACATCTGTCCATGCTTTCAGTGTCTCTTAGGGGAATGTTTCCTCTGCATAATTTTGTGTGAACTGGAGAGAATGTAGGCAGTTTTTTAAAGGTAATGTGCAGAATGTGCTGTCTTGCACAACATTATTAGTTAGTAATTTACTAGAGGTGTCCTTTATCCTTAGACGACCAATGTATTATAAAATTCAAGCATGTGCATCAATTATCTTCGTAATTTTTTTCTATAAAATATATATATATAAAGTTGGATTGATGCTTCATGCGATGAGTAATAATGTTGGTTCAGATTGTTAATATATGTTACTAATCTCTTACAGCTCTATGCAGGAGCAATCCTTGAAGTGTGTGGATGAAAATTGGGGAGGTTCCCTCAGGTTCAGGGTAAGTGCAATTGCAGTGGTTGGTATTTCTTTTCAGTGTCGTTACACCCCATAATTTGTTTAAATTCTGAAGGAATGTCTAGTCTGGCATAGTATGTGTAGATACCCAAATAATTTATAAGGGATGGTCAGTCTGTTTTTCCTCCACATTTTGACCTCTTGTTCCTGTCAGTGGTAGCCAGCATGGCCAGCAGTGAAATCTGATGGGAGTTGTAATCCATCAAAATTTGGAGGGTTTTATCTTTTCCAGTCTATGACTATATAAAACATTTGAATTCCAATTTATAGAAAAAGGAAATAGCATATTTGAGAAATGAAGAAAGAGAGAATTGTATATTTAAAGGAAAGCAGATTGAATAAAAATCATGAATAACTGAGGCATTCTCATTTATTCATTTATTAAATTTCTATTTGGGGAAAAATATTGTCTCATCTTCAAAACTTTATACAGAAGTTCACTGCACTTCACAAGTTTTTAAAAATTATGTAGATCTACGTAATAAATGACAAAACCAGAAAAAGTCTTGTGGCAGCTTAAGGAATGAATAGGCAATCTGGAGGACCGATTGCCTAATTTATTCAGGCAAGGTTTCGCAGACAACATCCAGAAAACAGATAGTCCTCAATTTATGACCACAATTGGGACTGGAATTTCCATCACTAAGCAATGCAGTTGTAAAGTGAGATGTCGTGACTGCATTGCTTAGTGATGGCAAACCCAGCACTCCCCATTGCCATCGTTAAGCAAATTCCAACAATCGTTAGCCAAGGACCCACCACAATCCAAGCCATTCCAGTCTCGGTCTCTCCTAGCCTTGAGCCTCAGTACGGTAAGGGACTGCCTCCAACTTCCCCCACCCGTCTATCTCCCCCCATCTCCCCCCTTTTGGCCACTCTGCACCCTGCCTTGAGGGGCAGCAAACAGCCCCAGAACTGTGCAGCTCTGGGGCTGCTTGCCATGCTGCGGCTCAGGGGGTTCTTGGCCCTCCTTCCCTCTTCAGTCACTCGCACACACTGCTCCCTCCTTGGCTCACTTGCACACATCAGTGCCCTCCTTCCCTCATACCAGCACCCTCCTTCTCCCTTCACTCACTTGCACACACCAGCACCCTTTTTCCTTCCTTTGCTCGCTCGAGGACTCTCCAGGGGCACTTTCAGTGTGCACTTTGCAGTTCATGTTGGAAGTTGCTGGCTTTCTCCTTCCTCCTGAAAAGCCCCAGAGCCACAGCATAGCGTGAAGGGGGCACAGTGCATGCAATCAAGCAAAGGAGGGTATGTGAAGAACACACACATATGGATGTACGTATATATGTATATACTTACACATAAGTATATATATAATAGTTATATATGAGTTGTCCATAAGTCAGACATTCTTAACCCAGGGACTGCCTAGATAGAAATATAGATAATAAGATTAATGAGAAAAAAAATGAATTTGAACGAGATTAATGAGAAAAAAAATGAATTTGAACGATTGTAGTATCAGGCTGCAACATAACAAAATTGAAAAAAGTGAAGGGGGTCTGAATACTTTCCAAATGCACTGTATATATACAGTGCATTTGGAAAGTATTCAGACCCCCTTCACTTTTTTCAATTTTGTTATGTTGCAGCCTGATACTACAATCGTTCAAATTCATTTTTTTTCTCATTAATCTACAGTGCCCAATAATGACAAAGTGAAAACAGAATTTTAGAAATGTCTGTAAAGTTATTAAAAAGACAAAACTGAAATATCACATGTACTTAAGTATTCAGACCCTTTACTCAGTACTTTGTTGAAGCACCTTTGGCAGCAATTAGCAGCCTTGAGTGTTTTTTAGTATGACGTGACAAGCTTTGCACACCTGGATTGGGGGATTTTCGGCTATTCTTCTTTGCAAATCCTCTCAAGCTCAATCAGATTGGAAGGGGACCGTCGGTAGATAGCCATTTTCAGGTCTCTCCAGAGATGTTCAATAGGGTTCAAGTCAGGGCTCTGGCTG